AAGTTCAAGCATAGGAAACACGTCAATGGCAGGTCTTACCTTTTCACCTATTCACTCTGTCCGCTAAAATGTTAGATTACAAAGCTAGCCACATAGTTCTATTTTCTGATTTGTTCAATTCCTCTTCCTGAGACATATCATGAAGATCCAACTATCAGATTATTGAAGCCCAGCAGTCAATGTTCTCTTTTGGCTAACCTAATTAACCAACTGTTACATGCTTTGTGGACTGGCAACTTTTAGATTTTTAGGATTTCTGTTCATACCCAGTCATTGTTTGATTGGTTGAGCTATAGGCTGTAAGTAATTCTAGTAAATACAATATAAATAAATAGAGATTCATTCTATAAGTTCTGCTACTCTAGAGAGTCCTGACTAATATAGAACCCATGTGCTAATATCAACAGTTAGTGTTCTTAACCAATGAACTCCACCTCTTTCCTCATAATTATGATGTCACAGTTCCCAACTGAGGTGCAGACCCTCTGCTAGAGAAGAGGCCACACAGGTACCTGGATGCCCAGGTAGGCTGCATGCCACAGACCTTCCCTATACTGTGAGTTCCTGCCAACCAATGCTCTTCAAGTCACCTTAATAGTAATAGACTGTGACTTTGTCAAAGAACCCTTGTACAGGTCACAATGTCCAGAGGACCAGAGAAGAAACAGAAACCAAGATAAAAAACATCTATTCAACAAAGACAGCTGCAGAATTTTACACCTAGACTTATAGCGATTTCAACTCAGATGCCTAGATGCTAGCTTAAGAACAAAATCAACAAAAACCAAGATATATGTCACCACCAAAGTCCACCCAGCCTACTACATCAAGTCCTGAATATTGTGAGAGTGCTAAAACACAAGAAAATACCTCAAAACCAATTTTATGAAGACTATAGGGCTTCTTAAAGTGGAAACTAATAAATATTTGAAGAAATTCAGGAAAGGACAAACAAAACATTGGAGGTGACCTTATTTTGTTTTTGTTCTTCAGGTTTCTGTTCAAGGTGACAGTTTCTAGAATGATAACCAGAGTGAGAGTAGACACATTTTGTAGTCTCTTGATTTGGGATCATGGATAGTTGTGTTGAAGAAAGTCTCATTGTCTTTCCCAACCTTACATCCATTTCAACAAGTCCCCTTGCCTAATTTAGCTAGGCACGAATATGAGGAAAAGAAAAGCATGCTTCTTTCTATCAATCAAGGCTAGATCACTGGAGTTCTCCTAGCAGTATCAAAGCCTCCACAATCCCTTGTCCCTGCAAGGGAGTATGTGTGTGTGACCAATAAAGTTTCAATCCCTCAAAAATTGACTACTTACTTCCTCAAGAGGCCAATCTGGATACCAAAATTTTAGTGAAATTATTGTTATAGCTTTTCCTCTGTATACTAAAACTTTAATTTCAATGCCATTTATTTGTATTTCTAACGTTGGCTTCTGATAATTTATAGTAATTTGCCCAAATACTTGTTTTATGTTCTCTCCTGAACTTTTTGTTTTATCTATTGAGGTTGTTCTGTCCTTGATAACATCTAGAGCAGTGATACTCAGAAAAGTCTCATTTAGTAATCAAACATTTATTAGAAGTTATGGCCATCATAAGTATACCTGTACAAATAAAGCAGATAATCATCTAGCATACATCTCTAAAGAAAATGAAACATTTTTGCTTATTATAAAGTTAAGCATATTTCAGATATACCACACAATCCTACATGTCAGACAGTTATAGAAAGATCAAACTGAACTATGAAGGATATGTTAAACAACAAAAAGGGATAGAAAATAACCCCAGAAAGAGATTGCATAATTCTTTATTAACCTTGAATTTCTTAGCACTAATGAGAAAGGGACAACAGCAGCAGAGAGACATTGGATAATAGAAAAGTCTTCTGAATTAAATCAGCCAGTGTATTTCAAGGATGTATTGACCTCACAAGAGAAACCAAGAGATGGGGGAGGGGCTTTACTCTTGTTTCCACAGCAGAAGAAAAACTATGAATACCATCAAAATTAATAAAGATTCACTTTGAAAAGGGGTAACCTCTTGAAAACAGAAATGACAGCTCATCCACAGCAGTCACAACCATACTGGTGGTAAGGAAACCTAATAAGGGTTGGACAGGGTTACGTTCTTGTCTTTGCAGGAAAATAAACATATTCAAAAATTCAAGAGACCCTGGATGTTTGGATGCTGACAGAAAGAAAAACAGCTATCCAGTAAGGATCATCAAGACAAATGAATATGACTAGTAAGGACATGTTATCAAATCATACACTTAAATTTATAAATATATAGATCTGGCTTTGGAATTGGACAAGGGCTTCGTCCTTTTCTAAATTCAAGCATGATGTTATAATAAATATTCAGAGTTTCTGTCTAATGTGAAGAGATGTCTGGTATGGGACAGAAAGAAAAAAGAATTTAGAAAAAATTTATGTTTCTTATAAATATTTTTGTCTCTATCTTATATTTCATTACATAGATGTGTCTGTATAAACAATGTTTAAGTTTTCCATAATAAACAATAAATTTTCCTGCAGTAATCTTTGATGTTTCCAGGAAAAAGATGGGGTCCACAACAACAACTCTAGGTGGTTGATATGATGTCATGATGCTGATAATGCTGCTATAAGGCCTATTTTGGGTACTGGCTGCTCAAGATGATTTCAACTTGGTTAGCTGAAATGGTGCACCTTTTTACAATGTTTGGACCAGAACTCCAAATAGAAACCTCATAAAAATCTTACCAAATATTCATAGACTATTTGCAATTACATAAGAAAGTAATATTGGAATTTATTCATCATTTTACTTTCACAGGATTCCATAGATGAAACATCACCCCCATGACAACTGGAAATAATTCTAGAAGAAGTCCCCTCTCCCTAGAGGATTGTGATTTGTGAGTCTACTCCTAGAATAAATAACTATTACACTCAATTCTGAGCTAATGTGGGATTTTTTTAACGTTCCTTCTTCAGGAAGACCAAAGAGAGATATATAGAAAGAGTAATCAGTGTTAAAGAGACGCCACGTTTCAACTGAAGGACATGGTTGCCAAAATTTTATGAGTAATCCTCAGCTTTGTAAACATACACAGATTACTAGAAATGGGCTCAATTAATATATATGAGATAGTTAGGAATATGCCTAAACCTTTGGCCAAAGAGTGTTGCAATAGTTCTGTGTCATGGTGGCCTTGATGGAAAACCTATAGTTTCTATCTTGCATAAAATGCCACGCCTTCTCTTGAGATAGTTTTAAATATGCATTTGTCAATATGAAAAATGTAGGCCTTCTCATGAATGGGTAAGAGATAGTTTATTCCAGAGTCAAACATGAATGCTTATGGCCCAGTAACACAGATTCAAGTTACCCCAAACTCCATGATCAGTTATGGTGACAGTTTCACGAAGTTTTTATTGGAATAGAACTAAGAATGCCATGAATCAAGACACTTTTCAAATACAGTAGGAACATCAATTGGGCAGGTTCCAGCAACATGAAGAAACCTAAGCTACAAGTCTTATATGCTACCTGGTATTATTCTTTTCATGTTGGTTGGTGGAAGCTAGGAGTCTGTTAACACTTTCCTAACATGTTTTGTATGTCAGCTACAAATATATCAAATCAGACATAGAAGTAGGCAGTGAGTGGATATCATTTTGAAGATAAATTATAACTGGGTTCTGCCATATCCCTACCTCTCCACTATCACAAAAGTTCTAATCAGGTAATCAGGGTTTGTAGAAGGTCCAAAATGGGATACAATCTTTGTTGCATAGCATTTAGTAAGTTCTTTACAGGAAGTGATGACCACTAATACAAGTGTCTAAGATGTGTACAGGCATAAGAACATGGCTTGCTCACTGACTCTCCTCAAAGGACACACACTAGACTTTTACTACTAGTCCTTGGGTGACTGCAACAGAGTTTGAATCAGGTCTGGTGTTTTCACTAGTCTCTTCTCAATCAGTATTTATATAGAAAGTGAGGTTCTTTGTAGACATAAGATTCTGTCCCACTCATTCCCACAGCTGTTCAGTCTCAAAGAAACATACAGAGGCTTATATTATTTATAAACTGTTTGGCCCATTAACTCAGGCTTATTATTAACTAGCTCTTATAGCTTAAATTAACACATAGTCTTTGACTATGTTTAGCCATGTGTCATGGTAGCTTTCCGCAGTGCAACATTTTCACCTTGCTTCTTCTGCACCTGGCTGGAGACGGACTCTGCCTTCTTCCCAAAATTCTCTAAGTGTAGTTGCCCTGCATATATTTCCTGCCTTGTTACTGGCCAATAAGTATTTTATTAATCCAATAAGAGTGACAATTCTTTATGGTGTAAAAGAGCATTTTCCACAGCAGTTCTTGATGAGGCTTCTATGGAAATCCTGGGATTGTTCTGACTTGTCTGTCATTTCCGGAAAGTTTGCTGTATTAAAATTCAGCTTCTTTCATTGTCCTCTCTCCTTACTATTACTTGGAATATCATCAAGATTTCTAAATTCATCCAACAATTACCCTTTCCATTGCTTTAGCTTGGCTGGTGGGATAAATTTCATATTCACCATTTTTAATGGAGTCCTCCTTTAATCTTCATATTCTTTCCTGTCTCTGCTGGCCAATGAAAACTCACTTATTCCCTCCACCATTTTGCTTTAATACCTTGATTTAAGCTACTATCAGTGCTTTTAATGAAGTTGTCTCTAATTCATTGATGTATGGAGAGCTTTCCATATCAGTATATTTTATTTATCCTGAAATGTTTATTCTAATGTAAATTTTTGTCTACTATTAGATTTGTTTTCCACAGATTCTGGTGTAGTTTGTGGTAAAGGAATGTCAGAGCACTGTCTTTGTGAAGTCCCTAAGTAAGTTTTTCTTTTAATTATACATTTTATGGATAGTATGTGAAAATGTCAGAAACTAGCAGGCTGAAGTTTCCTTCCTCCACCTGGATGACAAGAAGTTCTTCCATTTTTTTTTGTAGGAGTGAGCCACAGCAGCTGTGTGCGAATCAGCAACAGCTGGTGTCCTTAAGTGTTCAGTCCTGTACAGTCCCCAATAATCATGGCCCTCAGCCCTCAAAGGTTCAGTTCCTAGGGCTCTACAACCTTCCTCAATCTTTATCATAAGCCTATGTTACAGCTTTCAACACCAGGCTTTAGATACTTGTCCATCAAGATAGTTCTTGGGACTTGATGTGGGAGAATTGTCTGTATTCTGTCAATCATATTTTAATAAAACACTGATTGGCCAGGCAGGCAGTATAGGCGGGAAAACCAGACAGGAAGTAGAGGTGATGCAATGAGAACAGGAGAATTCTGGGAAGCAGGAAAGTTCCTCTGCCACTCCTGCGCAGACCACCGAAGAGGCAACATGTAAGCTGTCACACTAAGAAAGGTACTGAGCCCATGTAGCTAACGTAGATAAGAATAATGGGGTAACATAAGTTATAAGAGTTAACAAGAAGCCTGACCTAATGGGCCAATCAGCTTTATAACTTATAGAGATCTCTGTGTGATTGCTTTTCTTTGGGGTTTGCCGACTTGTTGGGGTGCCGGGCGGGATAGATACTTCAACAAGCCGGCCCTCATGTTACAGGGACTCTTCCCATAACAAGTACCTTTAGTATCTCCTCTCTCTCTCTCTCTCTCTCCTTACAACTCTTTTTCCTCATTCAGGCTCAGTCTCTGCCCTGTTTGTCCTCTTTTTCCTCCTCCTCTTCTCCCTCCTTACCTGGATGCTAGAAAATGATTAAATTTATTCTTCTTTAGCTGTTTCTGACCAGTCAGAGCACTTTGTGTAACTACATCACAACCTTGATTTTGTACCTTCCATGTTCTGAGAGGCTTATGTTTGGAATTATAGGCTGAATTCTTAGCATCAATCATAGAAGAGTTTTTGTTAGATTATCAGTGAATGTATTCCACATTTGAACTGAGTGGAAACCCTTGCAGAGACATGTAGAGTTAGGTGAACCTTCTGCTAGCAAATAGTCTGGTTAAAACTGTTCCCAACAGCTAAACCAAATTTATTAAACAAATGCAGTGTGTGTGTGTGTGTGTGTGTGTGTGTGTGTGTGTACGTACGTGTGAATGCCTCCATATGTATGTGTGGTATGTAGGCGTGGATGTGCATCATTGTTTTTGAGTTATGAATGTGAGAACATGTGTGCCAGAGTACACATATGACTATGGTGTTCAGAGGACAACTGTGAGCATGAGTCCTCTCACCTTTCTTCCTTGTTGGATACAGTGTCTTATTGTTGCTCCATTTGTCTGAATTGCCTGTTCAGGATCACCTGAAAATTGTTCTGTCTCTGACTCCCTTTTCCTTTTAGGACCACACTGGGATGATAAATGTTTCCTTACTGTCATTTCCCAAAGCCCTCAACTAAACACACACAAGCCAGAAATGCTAGTAGGTCAGGAGAGGGTCCAGAGATAAACCCCTCTGGAGACAGTTATAGGGAATAGCTTTTGCTTTATTGTATTTGAACAACTAAAAATATATATTGTAATCTTATGGACTGTGATTAATCAGCGCACTATCTCAGATTTGACAGTGAGCACATATGCCATTTTTGTCTTTCTCCTGAAGAAGCACCAAAAAGAGACCTAGAATGCAGTCTGTTCAGCAGGACAACTACTAGCTACTCACACTGTTTCAGAATTCAGTGTTCTAAATTCTGGATTTACACAGGAGTATGGTGTTCTGTGCTCCTTATTTATTAGCCCAGTGAACAGGTGGGTTGGTTCCCTGGCCATGCCTGCATTTTCTCCTACAGTTCTCTCCTCTATGTCATTTTGCTTTCCTGAGAGGAGAGCATCCTCACCCAAGGACAGAATATGCTAGTCAAAGTATTACAACTAAAGAGGTATTAGCATAGGTATCTAAATTAGAAAGGCTGTGAAAGCAAGGAGGGTATCTGGGAGCAGCAATAGTGTCATTTAAAATTTTGAATCTTCTCTTATACGACCCATATCAAAAATAGGTTAAAGCCATTAGCAAAGAGCTGAGAGCAAGGTCCTCTGACTTTCATCCCAGGAACAAGAGAGGGATAGGTACCAATGACCAATACATTCTGGAATTGGCATTATTTGGACTTAGTTTAGTAAGCAAACATACAAGGATGATAGGTGCTTGCTACCTTCTCTTGCATTTGTTCAATGTCATCAGCTTCATTGCTTATATTAGCTGTCCATGATCTGTTCAGCTGGGCAGGGATACAGATTGCTGCAGTATATTTTCTGAAAACACACAAGGAAAACTCTTGCAATGATAAGTAATGGGGCTGATGATTACCATTATCTGTTATTACATCTTTCCAAGTAACCAGAGATAAACTCATAGACCTTGACTAAGTTTTGCAATATAATGAGCTATCATTTGTTTTAAAAAAATAAAGTAAATAATGTGACTGGAGACAAATTGTTTTCAGGCATTTTCACTTATAATTGTCTGAGGCATTTGAAAACCTTCCTGTAATTTGGAAGAATCATACTGAGCAAGTCAAATATCATCCATATGTTTAATAAATATAATAGATGGGCCATTTAACAGGAAATTTAAGGCTTGAAACATGTGATAATGACAGATAGTAGGGATAAGTTTCATCCTTCGAGGGAAAAATTTTACACTACTGTCTTTGATCAGTATATGCATTTTTTGGCACTGGTATGGAAAAAGCAAACCTTTCTCTATCTCCCTTTTATATACAATACAGAAATATATTTATTAATAGGGATAGCAGTGCCTCATGTAAGGTCATGCTGTAAGACACCATCTTTTTCATTTGTAAATTAACAGATCTTAAGTAATGTAATAATTTCCCTTTACCTTTAGATTTTTTCCTGAATGACGTCCAGGGATGAAGGCTGAGTTCAATATGTTCCGTTTGTATTTGTTCTACTAACTCCTGACCAAGTCACAGTTTCCTTTTACTGAGAGGCTATTGTTCGACCCATAAGGGTTCACTTATTTCCTTTTAAATTTTATGGATGAGAAAGCCAAAAAATAGCCCCTTTTGTTGGGGGTGGGAATTCAGTTCCTCCAAAGAGCTCTTAGCTATCATAAATCTGGGAAAAGCATGGCTCCAGTCATTTCCCATATATCTCATCCCCAGAGATTATTATTAGGTAAACCTTAAAGAATTAAGGGCTGAGCTTTTCAGTGTGCCTGCCAGAGTACTTCCATGTAAGGAAAGTCAAGGCTGTTTTAGAATGGAGAGGATTTGATTAAAGTTCTGGTGTTTGAGTGTCTGTCCAGTGTATGAGGCCCTGAGTGTGAGTTACAGAGCAAAGGAGAACAAGAGGAGGAGAAATGGTAAGGATGGAAGTGGAGAGAAGAACAGGAGAGGAGAATGGAGGGGAGAAGACGGAAGAGCAGTTTCTTGTCATAAATTTGAGAATCACAGTGTGCACTGCATTCTCCTGCTTTGCCTCTGTTTTACTCCCTGATCTACAGGCAGATTATTGCATTGGCAAAACTCTCAAATTAAACTTGGTTCTTTTATTTTTGCTTTTCTGTTTTATTGATTTTTATTGAACTCTTCATTTTTCTTTGCTCTCCTCCCTGCCTATCCCCCTACCCTTCAACTCTCCTCCAGGGTCCCCATGCTCCCAATTAACTCAGGAGATCTTGTCTTTTTCTACATCTCACATAGATTAGGTCTATGTATGTCTCTCTTAGTGTTCTCATTGTTGTCTAAGATATCTGGAATGGTGATTTGTGGACTCGTTTTCTTTGGTTTATGTTTACAAACCACTTATGAGTAAGTACATGTGATAATTGTGTTTTTGTGTCTGGGTTACTTCACTCAAAATAATGTTTTCTAGCTCCATCATTTTGCCTGCAAAATTCAAGGTTTCACTTTTTTTTTCTGCTGTGTAGTACTCCATTGTGTAAATGTACCACATTTTCCTTGTCCATTCTTTAGTTGAGGAGCATTTAGGTTATTTCCAGGTTCTGGTTATGACAAACAAAGCTGCTATGAACATAGTTGAGCATATATCTTTGTGGCACGATTTATCATCCTTTGGATATATACCCAAACGTGGTATCAATGGGTCTTGAGGAAGGTTGTTTCCTAATTTTCTGAGAAATTGCCACATGGACATCCCAAGGGTCTGTACCAACTTGCATTCCCACCAGTAATGCAGTTGTATTCACTGTACCTTGCAACCTCTCCAGCATAAGTTGTCATCGGTGTTTTTGATCTGGGCCATTCTTACCTGGTTCTTAAGACTCTAACACTAACATATATTTTAGACATTCAGTTGACTGTAGCAGTCAAGTGGCCAAGACTGGATTCAAGTAAACACAGTGTAATCCTATCACAGTCTTTCTTGTATTTTAGATAGGAAGTGCCCTGTGAAGTAGGGTCATGTGTTGATGTCTTGAACTCCAGACTGATTACAGATGCAGTCACTGATAAGTTGTTAGAGAATGAGGGCTCTGCCTCATTTTAATACACTGATTAGGTTAGAACTTGATAATCAAACAGAAGGATGAGAGAATCTCTGAGATCAGGTTTGGAGGGAGGTAGATTCTGCAAATGTGTCATCGGTGGCTCTAGTTTGCTCTTGGTCCTGCTTTGGCCAAGCTTTATAAATCCAAGTTGACATATAGTCTCTGCCATCCATGCATCTTCTGCATTCCATGGAACAAGAAAAACATACCAGAGCTGAAAATTCTAAAACTGGAATTCTAAAAATTCTAAAATTCAGACATTTTTTTTTTCTGCTTCAAGTTATTTTCTTGGTTATTTTTGAATATATATATATATATGTGTGTGTATATATATATATATACATACATATGTATATATATTCCAAAAAAGGCACCCTGGATCAAAGGAAAATACCCACAAAGAACAAGTTTCTAAATACTAACAGTATTCCTTCAGAGCATTCCAGAACTGTGAAACATATAGTGGTGAGATTTTAGAATGTATGACCAATAAATAAGGTTTTAGAACTTTCAGGTACTATAACCTATGTGCTTCCTGTGAAATAATCAGGAGTATTGGATAATGTCTATATAATTTATCTTTTGGTTTTAAATCTCTGGAATTTCTCTCTCTCTCTCTCTCTCTCTCTGTTTCTCTCTCTCTCTCTCACTCTGTGTGTGT